AGGAGACCTATAATAAATAGTACAAAAAAAATACCTTTTTACAAAAAAAATATTATATGTGAAAATGTTGATTGAAGGCGGATAATTGCTTATTAAAGGTGGATAAAATATTCAAATTTTAGGATGGTATAGTTAAAATTTGGATAGCTAAATAAAAAAAGTGGGGGTGGTGAAATAAAGACAAAAAGGTTAGGTTCAAAATTTAGCGGAAGATAATTAATATTAAAAAGCATATATGTAAAGTAAAGCTTAAAATAAGATGGTTAAAATTTGTAAAAAAAATTTATAATAAAGTGGAATTGAATGTAACCTCTACATCTATGATTCGAGATGTGCACATCATATTAAACAAAATGTTATAATAAAAGAAAATTCATAGTAACCAATTGCATAACAATCGATAATTAAAAACACTAAATATTTTTTTTAAAAAAAGGAACGAATTAATATAAAATAAAGCTAAATTATAATCACTACTTTAGATGTTGAAATAAATACCTTGACGTGCATAATATAATACTCCTACGCGAGTGCCCGTACTAGCATCCTTTCTATCCGATTATTTTGACCATTTTCGAATTTTGTCTCATTGCAATCATTTGCCAAAAACCGGGTATTACCAAACGTAGAAACAGGTGACGATAATACTCGCTGTTTATCTAAAAAACTGCCAATACCAGAAATTTGGGTTGAAGATTGACTAGAATGCTCAAATAAATTGCAAAGATGTGGAATCGAAACGGGTTGCTTGCAATGAATACAACAATTCATTTTCAATTCTGATTCATGGGCATTTAAAGATGTATTCTCCATTTTTTCAATTAATGAGTTAGGTAATATAGAAATTGGTGATCCAGGTGTACTCGCTGCAGGAGTAATTGGACTTATGTCTAAATTTGATTGTTTACATTCAAATGTCGTTGAATCCATTGATCTCAAAGTTTCACAGAATACAGAAACAGCATTTTGATTTTCGGCTTTTCTGAACGCATCTGGACTCGATATTTCAGGGCCTGAAATAGCTTGGATGTGGGTTAAAAGAAGGCTGCTCCAACGTTTGAAAACATCTTCAGTTATGAAAAGATTGTAATCAATAAGTTTAAGAAAGCAAACTTCATTTGCATTAACTTCATGAACAGAAAGTCCAGAAATTTTGGCCCAGGCACGGTTAGAGTAATTACGATCTTGGAGATATTTTGAAGCGATGATCAGAGAAGCCAAAAACATTCGACGGCCACAAGTCGCAGGATCATTATTTTGACCTGAATATCTGGCCGTATCTGAATGATACTCAGAAGTCGATATTAAAGGAGATTTGTTACATTGAGATAAAGAAGCAATTTTGTTTTTGATTCGAAGTAAATAGAACAATGAAGTTTGAAAGGTTGAATAGGAAGTACGTGAACGCCGTAAAGTTTCTTGAATGAATAGACGTAGAGAAATGATTTTTGCACTTGGGCTAACAGAGAAACTTGCCCAAATTACCTCGATGATGAGGCAAGCGATATCTATTATATTATTATATGAATTCCAATGAGTTGAATTCTTCGTTGTTTTGATTTAATGGTTATCATTATTTCTAGTTTAATGAGTGGTGGTTAGTGAGAGTCACTCACCGACTAAATTTTCAACAAAGACAGCCTTTCGATGCCTTTCACTTATTAAGGACGGAATTATATTAAGATTAGAAAATTCTTGTTCATCATTTCTTGGAGCATCAAGGTGATCGGTTGAGAGATCGCGAACGACATTGGAACCGTTAATAGGAACCATTCGAGTATTGTTAGAAATATTAACGTTGGTCGTAGGAATTCGATATTGATTATTTACCATACACAAACGATCATGCATGATTCCGGGAGGCTTTTCAATGCTTCTCAAGATCCCATTATCATTATTTAACATAATTTGATTAAAGTTAGAACGAGGTTCTGGACAATATCGCAGAACATTATTTTGTAAAGTTTGTAGAACTTTACTTTGTGAAGTTTTTAAAGACGAGCATAAAAACTGGCGTTTAAAGTGAGGCGGAACAAATTTCTGAGAGCGTAGTTTTTTATGAAAATTCTTGCCAGAATCATTAAAATATTCATCCTCGTTCAGTTTTTTACGTTTTTGTATGAATAGTTGGTGAGGGTCACCCTCCAAATGATACTTTATTGGCTGCGGTTGGAACACATCATCATATTTGCGTTTCTCTCTTGTAATATTGCTCATGTTTTAAGTTCAAAAAATCACCTTGTCGAAAGATGATCAAGAATTTATCCAAACGGGTTTTAAAGCAATTTTGACATGTCTTTACAACAATATATGAAAAAAAAGGATTAAAAAATTAAAAGGAAATAATTAAAATAAAGATTGAGACGGCCAGAATATTGTATATGCCGCAGGAAAATGAATTATTAATATTTTTGTGGTTTTTTTTACTAACACTAACGTTAATGCTACGTAATATATTTTAACAAAAAAAAAAAAGGTGGGGCCGCTTTATTTATAAAAAAGCACTAAATTGTATCGCTTTTTATTGTCAATAAATAGTAAGGGGTATGCTGCGCATAACTGCGGGTGTGCGCAGACGGCCGTAAAAGTAAATGTGTTAAAAAGTATGACCTTGTGCTCTTTTTTGTGTGTTTCATCTCGTGGCTTCTATGACTGCATCTATAATATTGAAGAAATCAAGTTCCGGAACATGTAATACATGCAATACATTAGATTTCTGGTAAACAAACAACAAAAGGGGTTCAAGGGAGAGAGCCTGTGTCAGAATTCTACGAAAGTCGTTTGTTATATCATTGTTTCTAATTTTGGTTAAACTAGAATCCGGCCAAATCGCTAGCATTGTTCCAAGGCGAAGCAGGCCCATAATTGCAATAATAAAATATAGCCTTATCAGGAAACGATAGCGACAACATTTTTTTTACTTCAAGATCTTATGTATGTAGTCGGCTGAATCTACTAATACAACTAATTACATGTTTATCAACAATGAAATCTGTTAAAAGCCTTTTGTATATTTATGATTAACTTAAATCTAAATCTTATTAGTTTTAAGCTGATTGGGTTTTTTATTTAATTAATCTTTTATTTAAGTTTCTATATCGATATGATCGAATGTCGGAGTTTTACGATTTACAGGCGTTGCCTTTTTTTGCTGATTAAAGTAATGATTGTAAGTCGTTAAGCAACTGTCATGACGTCATATAGAACGAATACTTCCAACTACGGGGAAATAACCCGGTAGACATCCGGTCCGAAGGCCGTCATTGCGGATAATAAACATATATTTACGCATATACAGGCATATATAGTTATTTTTGGTTAAATAATTTATTTTATTTATTAGATTAACAGATTATTGTCAGAAGGTCATTTTGGTAGAGGTGTAGTGCATAAGTTACGAGTTTTGATTGGTTTACAACGCAGATCATTTTTTCTAGTATCGTAGTTAGTATTAGTTATGTTAATTTAGATCAATGTTGTTCATTGGTGAGAATCGCTGGAATTGGATCTAAAAAATCCGTTCGAATAAATATCCGATACATTCATTTCATTGATGATATTCGATGATAATCGATGTACATAACTTTAAAGCCTTTTGTTATTATTTTAGACTTGGTTGAAATGCACTATCCATCACACGTTATATTACATCACTCGTAACCATAATTTGTTACATGAGCTAATTCTTTTCTAGTCGCCCACGCTCGTTAGGTTCATACAATATATTAAAAACATTAAATATGAAACAATTACAATATATATCATTTATTTGAACTTTTAACTTTTAAAATAGAAATATTTAACTAAGCTAAAATTGTATAATATTATGAATTTTAATTTTTCTATATAATTTGTATCACCGAATGTTCATCGAATTTAATCGATAAATTATTAGAATATTCGATTGCTAGATTTGGTGAAATAATTATGTATTCGTACATTCGAATATTCATCGAATATTCATCGAATATTCGTCAAATATTCGAACGAATCACCAATGGTTTCTATGGTAATCAATAGAGTCTTGTACTCATCAATTTCCTTCCATAATAATGTCCAAGTGTTATAGATTGCAGTAACAATTCTGTGTCGATAACAAATAAAAGTATGCATAATATTCACCCTTTTGAACTCTGATTTTACTCCGATAATAGTAACCAAGACTATTTATTTCATTATCTGATATAATTGATGTATTGACAGAGTTTCGTTAATAATGAACGTGCTACGTTCATTCTTTATCATAAAGATGGTTGCTCGAACAATAATACCCGGAAAATTTGAATAAAATCATTAGATGTTTTGCATTAATTAAACATAATAAGTTGTTAAAACTTATTACTATATATGTAATAATAAACTGACTAGACAAACAGTCAAGATAATATGTAACCACTATACACATAGTGATAAACGATAGTACTATTATTATACCACATTGTTGCTAATATACAACATAGGCTTATAGAAGATGTACTTTGCTGATGCTTACCTATCTCTTTTTCATTTTTGGTGGGAGTTAAGATCATATATGTCCTTAAGGATCGAATTTCATCTTGCACGATTTTATATTTTTCTTCATATTACGAATGCTATGCTATTTAATCAAAAAATTAGCGATTAAAGTTTTTTCTTCATCTTATCAAGGTTAACGATATAGGATCTACACATAAAAATAGAATCCTGCAATTAATACCAGATAATGAATATTCTTAGATTTTCGGATTTGTCGAATATTGAATTACTTCACGTAGAGTGCAGAGATGTTGTTATCATTGAGGTTCCATGATCATCTTTAAAAAAAAAAAGTTATATTAGCATTTCAATATAAAATCTAAAACTCGAAATCAAAAAAAAAAAAAACAAAAACCAGATTTTGAAACTAAAATCAATTATTTTTGAAATAATATGATTTTTCGAAATTAAGTTCACTACAGTGAAAACTTAAATATTCACTTCCAGGTTTTCTCCTTTGTAGCACTCATATCGTATGTTACCAGCTAGATCTTTCAGAAAACAAGTCCAGTAATTATAAATTTTTGATGATTAATTTTCTCTTACCTTGATTTGTTGAAAGTTAAAGTCTTCGAAGGGTTCATGTTCGCCATTGAAGCTATAAAAAAAGTAAATGGATAAACACCATACACACATAATAACACATGGGTGTTATTCTCCACTTGCACAGAGTTTTAATTATACTTTTCTATTCAGGATAAATTTTTATATTAAGAAAAATCTTTTTGAGCCATACATCGTAATTAAATAGTTATTGGTTATTAAAAAAATAAAAGAATCCTTACATGTTAATTGAAATATCATGGCTTTTTAGACCATTATCGTTTTCTCAGAGTATATTAAATTATTCATGATTTGTTATGGGACATTTAGGTCTTTGAAGATAAGTTTAATTTTTTTGGAGATGATTCCAAAAATCGCTGGCATTAGCGATAAAAAGAAAGTTACTCTTGAATTTTCCATAAGGGATTTCGCACATAATTTGTACTGTATAGGCCAATATGGGACTGCTGTGACCACTGTGCTGACCCGACAGTTGAATACTCCACGTTTGTAACAATTTCAACATATCCTCAATTTATTCAACACGTCTTTATAACTGTCGCGCCAAATCATCACGATCATATTTTGCTAGTTTGAGTTCATCTTTGGATGAGACAATTCCTATCCAATAAATCACTACTCATATCAATTTCATGACGCTCTGCAAAAAAGTGTGGCTACATGATTTCGTGATGATCGGGAAAATTTTTAGATTGTCTATTACTTTATACTTTCGATCTGTTACGTTTTGAATTCGTAAAGTTAAAATCAATAGAATCTCCGATTCTCACATGACATCGTGATCTGCAAAGGCCACGTCTTTTTGCAGATTTCTGAATTGAATAGCTCTTGAAAGGCGTAATATTTTTGTCAATGAGATAATTTGGCAATGGTGTAAATTTCTTTTAATATTCACCATATCAATTATATATCCCTTGAATCGTTCCATTCGGAATCGGGCTGCCCCGGATGAGAATTTCTGCGGAACTACCGCGGAACTAGATTTTTAGAGTTAGAATTAGGATTTAGAATAAAAAAAATTTAATTCTCATCCAGAACTATCCCGATTCGGGTGCAGTATATAATTTAATAAACAGATTAGTTTGCAATATTATGCTTACTAATGGATCTCATTTGTACAGTAATTGATTCGGTCTTTACCTAAAAGGCTAGATCTTTCCAACTAATGAATTTTCCTTTGATTTGTACAAAATAATGAGTACTGTAAATTCTCGAAATAGACATCTGCGCGTTATTTCGACTACGCCATGGGCGTTATTTTGAATTTTCACGATTGCTATAATTAGTCAGTCTTCACGATTTCACGATTGATTGATATAAAGGAAAAAAAGAAATTATCTGCGCGTAATAACCGTGAGAATTCTTAACGGTTGTCATATGCAAGTATTTTATTATGAAAGTTAAAAAAAAAAAACGAGTTATTATAAGTTATCATAGTTTCGGGACACGCATTGGCGCTATCTCAAAACCAACTATACAGTACTATTTATACTATTTTTGGAGGCATATCACTGCCGCAATATCATTGCTGATATTAAAGATCTATTTATTATTTGTCAGCGCTAAAATAAGAGAAATAATCTTCATTCTCCTCCCTCTTATTTTAGTTGTTGAAAAAAAAATCTTGATGTCGGCAATTATACTGCGGCGATGGCAACTATTGACCAAAACTTCGGATGCCGCCCTGGCAAACTCGATTTTGATTTTGACAATCGTTTAACAAGTCCATAATACCCTGATTATAGCTGGCGTAAAAATTTACAATATTCCACGATTATTACAGCACAGCCGCATTAATTGTCGATTAACAATATATATATAGATAA